GGGACGTGTGTCGTGATGAGTCAGCAGCCCCTCACAGGGACAGCAGGAGAAACGCACCCAGGTGGGGATGAGGCCGGGGCGTCCCTAAACGGAACACAGCCGGCCAGCCAGGGCTCCGAGGCCGGCAGCCTGCTCAGGGGGACCCACAGGAGCCTTGGCTGGCATCGCCCCTCAAGCCCCAGCTCGCCTGCGGAGAATTCAGGGCCCAGAAAGCCCCTGATGGGAGTGGGGGTGCCAGGGCCTGAGGGGCATCCTCCGGCTGTGGGTTGGAGGGCAGAGTAGGGGTAGTGCCCAGTGTTCCTCCTCGGGGTCTCTGCCAGGTGACATTTAGCTAAGTGTGTTGCACTGATGCCGCTCTGCTGGCATAGAGGCCATGACCTGGGCTGCTAACTGCAAGGTCAGCAGTTTGAGACCACGAGTGGCTCTTGGGGAGGAAGACGAGGCTTTCGGCTCCCATGGAGTCAAGGGAAGTTCGACGCTGGCCCGCAGGGGCGCTGTGAGTCAGCATCCACTCAACGGCAGCGAGATGCTTTGAGTTGCATTTAGACCACTGCATCCACAACCCCACCTCTGTGGCCGGCAGTCCGACCACCGTGTGTGGCTCAGTGTGTGGAGTCCGACCATGGGGCTCAGCAGGGCTGGGGCCTCTGCACTGTGACCAGCCCAGCGGGCCCTGGGGAGCCCTGTGCATGGGCCAGTTTAGCCTCCTCCTCTGTGGCACTCCAGTCCCGGGTCCCATGGGCCTCCTCACCTGGGCCAGTCACCCTAAGTTCAGGCGTGGCACGCAGCCCCTCTGCCTGCTGCGATGGGGGGGTGGGGGGGCAGGGGCCTGCTGACCCCCTTGAGCAGGTCTCTGTGCACCTAGCAGTGGGTTTTTGTGTGGCCCCGCGCTGGGCACTGTGCTGTGCTGGGGGTACCCCAGTGTCTGCAGGCTGCTGCATTGTTGCACAGCGCTGGCAGGTGTGACACGGTTGCTTGCAGACCTCGCAGCACCCTGCGCACCATGCCCGCCTCTGCTCAGCAAAGCTTGGCTGCCCGCAGGAGCCCGAGGGCCTGGTGTTGAGCTGCCCACCCCTCCTGGGCCGTGAGCCACGGGTCCTAAACGAGCTCTGGTAGAGCATGCGTCGCCCGACTGTCTTTGGGGAGACCCCCCCTCACTCCCACACTCTCCCTCCGAATGTCAGGGTCCCGCTCCGCAGGCTGTTGAACTTTGACCTCGGGAAGTGGGTGTCCGCTCAGCTGGGACAAACATCCTGTTTCGGTCTCAGCTCTTTGCTGGGAGGCGGGTTTTCTTTCCGGGGCTGTTTCCTCAGTCCATGGGAGCAGCTTGCTGGCCACCGGTCACTTCCTCGTCGCCCCCCTGTCCTGTTGCTGGTCGTCTCCTTTCCCTCACAGCCCAAACCTGCTTCTGGCCCTTTTCCATGCTCTGCTGATGCCGCTGCCACATGGGCACACGGAGGGTCCCCCACAGAGGCCAGCAGGCTGCCCAAGGTCCGACCTCAGTCCTCAGAGCCCAGAGCCTGGGCCCCATCTGTCGTTGGGACCTTGCTTCACATTAACCAAGCTCATACAAGTCCGAAACATAGCCCCCAAAAGGGCAGCGTGGGGCTGGGCTGCCTCCTGGAGGGAAGCTCACTTTTTAAGTAGCCACAGGGAGCGAGGCCAAGGCCGCACCGCTGTTGCCAGGTGAACTGGACACGCAGCTGTGGGGACGGCAGGCTCAAGAGCAGAGGGTGGGCGTCCTCTCAGAAGGCCTGGCCCAGAGCTGTGGCTGCGTCAATATTATCAATCAAGGCAGAGCCAGCGGCTGACTGGACACACCTTCAATTTGCTCACCTTCAAGTTCAAGTTGAAGAAAGAGAAAGCGTGTCTATGAGCACCGGAATATGGCCTTGAAGACTCCCCCCAGAATCTGGAGACCACTTTAAGGAGTGACTTGGTTTTCCAGGTCTGCCTCCTGACACGCCGGGCGCCCGATGACGATGCCCAAGGAGGACGGATTGCTCCTACGGACTCCTTTTGAAGGAGGGGTAACAGTGGCCAAGAAGGATGCCCACAGGCCAAAGCACCCGAACTGGCAGACAAGAACGTGCCCACCCTTCCCGTCATGCAGACAGTGCCGGTGCATGCAGAGCCTTTGTCCCCCAATTGTCTTTGGGGAGAGTCACAAGCCTACGTGAAGGAGCATTTCTACCAGTCCCTTACCAATGAGGGGTCCTGTACTTCCGGGATGGCCTCCACCGCCCTCTCCCTGAGATTGCGCCTGCCCCCCTGCACCGCAGTTGCCCCAAGACTGGCAGGCCATGACCTCGGGACCTGGAGCGTTTTCAACCAGCAAGGCTGACACTTACAGACAGAGTGCTGAGCCCCTGGCACCTGGTGCCAACAGGAAAGCCCAGGCCGGGGCCACAGCGGAACTACAGTGTAGGTAGAGGTGACTTAGCTGTGAGTCGGTCGACCAACCCAATAAAGTCGGAGCCGATGCATCTGTGTTCAATAAACCTGCAACCAGAGAAGAAAAGGAAAAAGAACAGATTCGACTCACGAAACACGAAGGGCTGAGGACCAGAGGAGGAGCGAGCGGGCATCGGGACAGCCCGGCTCTGTGCCACTGAGGTTAGGGCAACCACTGTGACCCCACAGGGCAGGGGGAACTGCCCCCGCGTGTTTCCGAGACTGCCCCCTCCAGACACGCCTTTCTACACGCAGAGAATGAAGGTCACGAAAAAGGCAGGCAAGTAGGGAAAGATCCCGCCCCGGCGGCTCTCAAGCTGAGAGCCCGAAGAGGGCACTTCAACTCCCCTCGAGAGATCCCAGCAGCAGAAAGAGGCGCGGAGCAGGAGGCACGAGGAGGAGATGGAAGAGCGCTGCGTCAGAAAGGCTCGGGCGCATGTCCGTGGCTGCTGCACCGTGCAGAGGAGGAGAATCTCCTGCCCAGCCACTGGCTGCCAGCAGCTCACTGCTGTGGGCGATGAGCCCAGGCCTCACACCTCTTCTCAGAAGGCACTTTGGGCCAAGAGAACGCAGGGGTCAAAGAAGCACATCTGGAGCAGATCGCCAGGGACGGAGGCTGGCCTCTCGGAGAGCTTCTACTCTGAGGCCGAGTCCAGTCAAAAAATAAAACAGATTGCTAAGAGCCTCGAATAAATAAGCTCATCTATTAAAAAGGAAAGGAAGAAAGAATTGGTTGGCCTCCAACTACTTCAAGAGGTAGCGTGTGATCAAGAACCACAGGTGCTGAAGGAAGATGTGCAGACTGCAGGAAGGCATTGCCCCCAAGTGTTGGCCACCAACTGAGAGGCTGCAGTGAACAGATGCGAAGCTGGAAGGGCTCACTCATTGGTGGCAGGGAATTTGGAAGATCGTTACCTGGTCAACAGGCTGGCAGAGATCCATCGTCATGCCCCTTCAAAAATAAAAAGAGAGAGTGACCCCTGGCATGGGGAAATTATCAAACAATATCATTAACATCACACGCAAAATTTTGCTGAAGATGATTCAACATCAGCTGCGACCATACACCATCAGGAAACTGCCAGACATTAGAGCCAGATTCAGAAGACAACACAGTGTTAATCTTGGGTGTTGGGAGAAAGCAGAGGATAAATGGTGGTTACCTGCATTGTACTGGCTGCACAAAGGCATTCCACTGTGAGACTCACAGCACATTGGGGATCTCAGTGTGAAGAGTGGGGGTTCCAGACACTGAATTGTGCTCCTGCAGAGCTGTACCTGGATCCCACCCAAGCCAGCGGTGAGAAGAGAGTAAGGGGTTGGGGAAGGCGAGGGGCTGGGTTGCGTCCTCTCACCAGGCTGAGCAAGTCATCAGAGAAGCCGGATGATAAGAAGAATGTGCCCTCAGGATGGGAGGAAGGTTCTTCCACAACCTGTGGCTGGCAGATGCCACCTTCGGGACAGCGTACATCTGAACATAGAGACAATGAGACGCTCACAACTGGGCCGATGAATTCCCCCACGGAATCTGGAGAGAGATTGAAGCAGTTGAGGGGTTCGTTCTACCTGGATCAAAGTCGACACCCGCAGAAGCAGCCATTAAAAAAATCCAATGATGATAAATGAACTAACAATGAGTACAAGAAAGAAGAAAATATTCAGAAATTGATTGTAGTAATGATTGCTGAACGATTTTAATATGTAATATTCAATTAAATTGTAGGATATGTGAATTATATATCCTTCCATAAAGCTGCTTTTTAAAGTAAAAAAAAAAATCCAATGATGTATATCGTGGCCTTGGGCAAAAGGCCTGTTTGAATTCTAAGAAGGAAAAGTGTCGCTTTGATGTCTAAAGTCTGCCTGTCCCAAGAGTGCCCTTGGGAGAGAAGAGGGGCCGCCAAGGCAAGACATGGGTCACAGACCATGGATTCAGGGGCTCCGTTGTCCCCAGGCCAGGGGTACAGAGCTGGGGGTCTTGGGTGGCCCCTTACATGGAGACTGCTGGAGAGGGGACTGGACACAGGCCTGGGGGGCAGTGGCGCCACTAGGAAGCTGCAGGGGTGCAGACTGCACCAGGTTAGCCTCTCAATCTCATAGGCCGCAAGATGTTGGAGCATTGTTTTACAGAAATTTATTATTTTGATGAAAATATCCCTGCAGTCCGTTATGGCAATAAAAACTCTTTTTCTTTTGCATAGCCAGTTTATAAGTGTCACTATCCCTACAAGGCCAAAACTCCGTGCCGCTTGCTGCTCTGAATCTTCCAATGATGCTGGGGGCCGTCATTACCCCCAATCACAAGGCTTCATTGAATCACCTGGTTTGGTGCACACTGCGCAGTCGATTTCGTTGCTGTGGGTGTTTCTGCAGCTGCTGATCTTGCCAACACTGGCGGTGTTTTAGTAACAAAATTGTGGTAAGTCGGATTTGTGACACTTTAACGTGTTGAAAAGCAAGGATGTTGAGGACAGAGGTGGGCCTCACTCGAGCCATGGAATTTTCCATTTCTTCACGTGCAGGTGAAAGTTGGACACCGAAGAAGAAGACCGAAGAAGAACCGATATTGAAAGTACATGGACTGCTGAAGGACAAGCAGTCTGTCTGGGAAGAATTACGCCGGAGCTCCTTAACGGCAAAGATGGGCCTGTTGTCGGGGGAGTGCAGTCCCTGGAGGAGGCTCTCGCGCTTGGTAAAGCCGAGGAAGGCCCTCCAGGAGATGGGCTGACAGGGTGGCAGCATCGGTGACTCAGGCATGGGAGCAAGTGCCAGGATTGCGCAGAACTGAGCCGTGTTTCCTTCCTTGTGCATCGGGTCGCCACCGATTTGGAAGCGCCTCACCACAGGCTTTGTGAACCTACATCAATAACTTCTTTGAGAAAGAAGGAGTAGCTACCACGGAGCGCAATAGTTAGCCTACGTAAAGCCATTTTATATCAAGCAAACAGTCTGCACCAGACCATAAGTGCAACCTCAGGCCTTTGTAGCCCTTGTTCCTCAAACTAGAAATAGCCCTGTATTAGTCTGGGTACTTTGGAGAAACAAATCCACAGCAAGTCATGTATACGAGTTTCATGTAAAGAAAATGTGCATCACGAAAACATCCCAACCCAATGCTGCCCAAGCCCACAAGTCCAACATTAACCCATTAACCCAACACCAGTCC